GGTTTCACAACTTGACAGGATTGGTTCCTTAGGTTTGTGATGTATGAAACCCTGGCTGTCTGAATCTGTCTTAAAACAACAGCCAGGTGTCCATGTGTTCATGAAAACAATTCATACTGGCTCTGAAAGTGTTTGACCAGCTGACTGGGATCCAAACTTCATTGAGGACTGGAGTCAGATTGCAGGTGCTGACCTGCGTGTATACTTGGGGGAAAGGTCATTAAAGGAGCTATTTGTACATTTTGCTATTGCTACATAGCTATCGTTAGCATTAACAGTTGTTTACTTACCAGTCCAAAAGAAACATTGTGGGTTCAGAATCAAACTTCATTCCTTTCCTCACCAACAGCTGTCTCCAGAGGAGGAAAGATACACCAATGTTAACTCTATTACGTCTTTTATTCTACTGAAGTTAGCATGCTAACCAGCTAGCCCCGGCCCATCTTATCAGTTTCTGATAGTGACTCACTGTGGCCTCCAGTCTGTCCTGAGGAACTAGCCACTCAGAGGATGTATTATAACCTTTTGGATTATAAAGACAACAATGGCTGAAGCTCCTGTCAGGTGACAATCACCACCACCTGACAAGAAACCACGTTCAGCAGAGAAAACTTAGAAATGGCCCCTTAAGTCACTGGAAACATTATATTATAAATCATCCTCTGGGGGCCACAAATATGTCTATAACAAATATTACATCTGTAATATATCAAAAATAACCTCATGCCACACAGCTATTGTTGGAGGTTTGCAGTCTATCCATTTCAGCAATATGTTTTTTCTTGCATAGAAAGTAAAGATACAAACAAGTCTTTTGAATGTGTGTCTGGCAGCCATTCCAGCAAATTTTAAAAACAACAAACCTAATGAGAACAGCAAGATGTCACGAGTGTCTTCAGTGGGTTGATGCTGGTGGATCTAGGGAAGGCAGGGTCAGTATATCTAGTACTATAAGTACAGCATAGACTGGCATGGAATCAGGTACACATACTGTATCCACGCTGCCCAGACAATGAAGCCTAATGACTTTGGCAACGCCCTGACTTTTCCTCTAGCACCATGAGGTTGACACTTTTGGCTTTTAGTGAAATGTCTCAACAGCTGCAATGAAATTTCAGACATCTACGTCCCCCTCAGGGTTAACTACGGAAGCTGAGAAAGACCATACTCGCAAATATTTTTTTATCTCGTTATCTCAAGATAACAAAGCTCGTTATTCCGTGATAACAAGATATTATCAGGAGAAATTTTTTTTTGTTATCTCTGGATAACAAAAAATTATTTTCTCTGTTATTCCTTTTTTCTGTTATCTCGGGATAACGAGCGATAACGATAAAAAAATATTTGCGAGTATGGTCTTTCTCAGCTTCCGTAACGAACTGTAATCACTTCAGTGATGCTTTGACTTTTCATCATCATCCAGTCAAAATTTCAATTTATCCAACAAGCTAAACTAATGTAGTGAACATGGTTAACCTCAACATGTTAGCATGCAGATGTTAGCATCCAATTCAAAACACAGCTGTGCCTGAGTGACTGCAGACTCTCATTCCTTTTTCCTTGAAAGACAACAACATCATTGTTGCAGCAGCTCAGGTAACAAAGGTGTGTGGCACAAACACACATCATGTACATTCTTAAGGACAATGTCTTTCTCAACTCGTTTACAATTGTAACGTCTGTGGAAAAGTACAGAGCCAGAACCATAAGATTAGACACTGCATGTGAGTGGGTGTAAGTGTTAGCTGAAGGCATATACAGGGTACATGAGCGTGTGTGCATGTGTGTGTGTGTGCGTGTGTGTGTGTGCGTGTGTGTGTGTATCTGTCTGTCTGTAAGCGAGTGTCCTTTGGGAGAATGTGTTCTCCAACACTAATACCTCTCCCTGCCCTTGATGGTGGAATCGGGACAGTATGTTACCATGGTGACTGGCCCCCATAATGGTTACCACGGCAATACGAGAGAGAGAGAGGCAGCGATGCAGCAGTGGTTGTCAAGGAGACCAAAAGAATGAGGGAGCAGCAGGGACGAGATTGTGAATAAATAGTGGGAAATAAAAAGTGAAATAGAGAAGGAGAGAAGAGGAGAGAGGTCAGAAAGAAACAGAGGAGAAGTTAAAGAGGAGAGAGAGGAAGAAGAGGAGGGGAAGTTGAGACTGTAGAAGATGGAGAAACTAATATGTCTTGAACTGAACCCAGAGCTGTGACACATCAGCATGTAGCAACCAATCTACGACCAAATCCTGTTCAGGCCTAATTCTGCCACGTCACCATCCTGGCTAGTTTTGGTGCTCACCGGCAGGATGGACGCTGTTGACCAACCACACCGGCAGGATGGAAGGAGGACATGTTGATGAATGCCTCTGGGTGACTGGCTGTCATGCACATTAAACTACAGTACAACTCAGCTTGTCCGCTGTCTGAAAGCATCTGCTGACTTCCAGATATCAGTCCAGATGGTCCCCGGCAGCCTCGCTGGAGGCAGCATGGCCGCAGGGTCAAACACCAAAACCACAGGAGGCTGACGCGTCCTCCAGCCCTCCCTCAGGTCTTGTCACACCAGAGCCAGAGGCCACTTGAATGACCTTGCTGTCTGTTGGCTTGGTTACACAAACTCTTTTCTGGCACACAGCCAGCATCGTATCAGTGCTCCCATCTTTACAGTGAGAGCAGACGAGAGGGACGTCAAACACATTACAACTTGCCTTCTCAGCTGATTCTCAGTGTGTGGTGGGGCATGTTGTGATCATGGGATTATAGAAAGCAACACCTACAGTATCTATCTTTTTTTTATAGAAACAACAGTAGAAAATAAATAGGAAAGTCAGGGGAGAGAAAGGGAATGACATTCAGCAAAGGGCCACAGGCCAGACGCGAACCCAGTCTGCTGCGGTTAGGACTCAGCCTTAGCACATAGTACACACTCTACCTGGTGAGCTACCATGGCGCCTCCACAGTATCTATCTTAAATTACACCGTACTGAATCTATCTGAATTACTGAATGATCTAACACTGCATGCTTTGGAAAATAATTAGTACTGAGTATAATACCGATGATTTGTAGAGTTAGAATTAGTTTCCACACCAGGGGCTGAGGCCGATATTGTTTTTTCAGGGTAGATTCTGATACTGATTATTAGTAATCACAGAGGTCAGTGACCAATATTTGGAACCGATATGCCAACACAAAACCACAGCTACATGAGGACTATTGGCGGGGCTAGTTACTTTAGCTTAGCAGTTAGCGCTAGCTTCTATCTCTTTCTCTCTTGCTCGGTGTGTCTTGGACCAACAGATGAACTTGTTCATCAGAATGTGGTGTTGTTGTAACTTCAGTGTAGAGGATTGTGATGTTTATTACATCTTCAGTGATGTCTGCTGTCTTTCCTTTGACACACAGCTCTGTAGCAGCTACAGCTGCTGTAGTCTGTGACCATCTGTGTACACAGTAGCCTTCAGCGTTGATAGGCTATTATTCGTGATGTGTAACCAATCAGATGGTGCTGTGGGCGGGACACTGCTCTAGACAACACAGTGGTGACCACAATCAGGGACAAGCAGCTGCATCCGAGCCAAAGTAACGCATTTCAAAATTATCTTATGGGTAAAAAAATAATGATACCGATAATCGGGAAAAATGCAGAATATTGCAGCCGATAATCTGCCAGGTCGATAATCTGTCAATCCTTAATCCACACTGATTCTATTAACTGAAATATCAGCGAGTATGTGAGTTTATACACTGATCCAATACTGTGGAATTTATTAATACATGTTATAGTCTCACACCTGGATAAAATTCTTTAAAATCAGTTCTTCTTCTCTGCTCTAAAAGAGTGCAGCCACTGGCAACTACTGCTATAGAGCAGCAAAGAAGAACTGTCTTCTGGTATGTTGTGTAATGTTAGCTGTTAGCAAAACACTAACGTTACAGTGGAAAGACCCACCAGAAAAAACATGTTCATTATGTAAAGCCTCACTTTGGAGAGACCTCATTTTATTTATGACTGGCAGTCAAATTAGAGAATAAAGATTCTATCATTCATATCTGCTTATGTTTTACAAAGAGTTTAACCTGAGCCATACAACAATAACAGCAATCACATCACAGCTGTTAAATGTTTTTTTAACACAGTGGTATCAGATCGGTACTCAAGTTCAGGACAGGAGTCAGAAGATCTCTAATGAGTCTTTAAAATACTGTCAGTTCTCAAGTAATAGCACAAATTCAGACAATCTCACTATGTGGCATCATCCTGTCGCACTCACCGCTCTACAGAGAACATGTTCTCCTTTTAATTGACAGACAGTCCAACAAACAAGCAAACACAATAAACAAGTGAAGGTCAGTTCACTCTCACCGCCCCCTCTCCGCCACCGCATCGTTTTCCATTTCACAGACTTGCAACATCCTCGACAGTTTTCAGAGCATTAGCCACTGTTAGATCTGCATCTCGACAGTGCTCAGGGAGGCAGAACTGATGTGGACGCACACACAGCTCCCCTGTGCACTGATTAGGGAACACAATTTCATTCCTCAAAGTCAAGGTCATGGGGCCCAGTCCCATTACGCCGCCACCCTGATTGCTTTCTCCTGTTTTGTTTAGTCTGTCAACTAGCATCTTCTGTTTATTGCATTGCTGTTGTGGCTTTGAACTGGTTCTCATGTTCAATTAGCAAATGGAATGAAACTGTTGCTGCGCAGCACATTGGCCTGTTACAGAGCTTAACTCTGTCTCCGCTTGCTGCTGAATCACTCGGATGTCTGGTGAGCTGTGAAACGTTAAATAAAAGCCCACTGACTGATTGATGAACATCTGCAGCCAACCTCGTATGAAGAGAGTGGGAAGGAGAGAGAGGGGAGAGACAGAGGGCAATGAAGGAGGAAGGAAGTAGGAATTAGAAGGAGAGAGGATCAGAGAAAACAGGAGATTAAAAGGTGGAAAGAGACAGTGATGAAGAGAAAAATAAAGAGGATGAGGAAGATGAATGTCCCTCACCTATCCACTTGTCATTCCCATACCAGGACAGATTGCCTTTAGTGCTGTCGTAGTATCCAATCTTCTTATAGCTCCCTCCTGTGAGAGAGAGAGAGAGAGAGAGAGAGCGAGAGAGAGAGAGAGAGAGGGAGAGAGAGAGAGGGTCACTCTGGACTCTGATGAATGGTGGACCTGGTTAGGTATCCAACTTTAACACAAACTGAAAGTGAGCATAGTAGGGAATATCAAAAGTGTCACATAGGTCAAGTTATCACTGACTGATCTGGTCAAATAGGGGGTGGGGGTGAGGGTAAAAGGATGATTCTACTCTTTTTGAGTAATATCACAATCTGCATCCTGTTTTTACTCTGATTTATTGTGAAAATCTTGACTTAAAGTTGTGATTCGTATTTTTCCACCGCTTTGACGCTTCTTCTCCTACATTGCTGTCTTCTGTTTAAAAACTGTGTCACAACCAACCAGACTTGAGTTCATGTGAAGTATTCATTTGGACAGAGGTATGAGGTGATTTGTAAGTATATAAGTATTCTAATTTGAAACTTAAGTTGCTGTCCTGCCTCGGGTTGTCCTGCCTGCAGCAGGTCTCTTGCCCAGCAGACGCACTGTAACTCCACCGGCTTGGACTACAGCTGGTGATGGTGGTTCTTGTTCTGCTCAGGTGAGATGATCTGTACGATTAATCTTAAATGTCGATCATATGTCAAAGTAAGATCGTCCACGATATGAGATCATCAGATCGCCCACCCCTACATCAGTGGTTCACCAACTTTCTCACTTGAAGGATCCTAAACTAACACAAACTAGACCACTGACCCCCATCTGATAAGATTTTTGCTTTTAAATGTTTTATTACAGAAAGTGTTTGAAACTCATGACCAAAGTAGTCATACATTCTGTCACTGTGTTACTTGTGGATGGAATTATAGTGAAAAAAATTGATTCCCCTTTTTAACTGGGGACCCCCAGGAACCCCCTGGAGGACTCCTGTTGGTCCCCAGACCCTAGTTTTAGAACCACAATCTACATAACCTATTCACAACAGACACACTTCTTGTACAGATGAACTTGTGTTTAGACAACATTTACCACTTGAGAACTTTGTGGTTTCAGTAGTGGCACTGACTGACAGAACCAGGCTAGCTATTTCCCCCTGCTTCCAGCCTTATGCTAAGCTAGGCTAACTGCGTCCTGACTCTAGCTCTGTTCTTAACACACAGATATGAGATTGAGATCCTGCACTTGGATATGGTTATATTTCTATTTATCAAATCAAAGGTTCCTTCTGTCCAATGGTGATAAAATATCACACTGTGGAGTTCCACAAGGGTCTATTCAGGGCCCAGTTAGAGGTGGGCGATATAAATAAATGTCTTAAATGTCTTTCTCAGGGATTCTTGGTACTTTGAGCTCTGTTTTTGTTCAAGGTCAAAGTTAACTTGGTTGTGATTTCCCCCTTTTTGTTCCAACAGAAACACTAATGAATAAACGATAAACAAAAATGCTTTAAAACAGACAGATTTTGTCTTTGACTAGAATCATCATACTGATCTGATTTTATACATCAAAGGGTTAAACCTGACATTTATGAAATGCTTTAGAGGAGACTGCAAAATATCCAGACAGATATCATTATTGTGATATTATTTATAAAATCAACCAGCCAGCAGGCTTATTCTATCTCTACTTAGCTAGCTGTGTCTATTATCATTGTTACACTAATGATGTCCCGCTTTGCGTGTTTTTGAAACCTGGGTAACTTTTAAATCAGCCTACTTTATCCAGTTGTTGTATCTTCTGTTTACTCCTACTGTCTACTCCCCAGAGTTTCTTAACCATAAAACTGAGACTTTTGGAAACTCTGTTGGACCCGTTTTAGTTTGAAAACTCCAAGTTGTGTTGTAGTCTGGACAGACAGAAACTGAGACCTTTGGAAACAATGACGTAGAAACCAACAGTGATTGGGTCTTAGCTTAGTCTTTGCTAGCAGCTGTTGTGCAGTTAAATTCTGCATTTTACTGCTACAACTGTCTTTGCTGTTCCTCATCCATAGTATTTTTTGTAACAGAATGCAAAGCAGACAATCTGCTTCCTGTTTACACCAGCTCGCACATGCCCAGTGTACACGAATGGTCATGTGATATGTGTTTTCAGGTAAGTTAGTATGGATGGAGATCACTAAAGATACATGTAACCTGGTTTCTCTGAGTAACAAAAGTTCAAAAGTCTACTACTGACTACATGACTACTAACTATAACTATAACTACAACTAAAGCTGGATTTACTACACTTCAAAATCCTTCCAATGACTTTAAAGCCTTGGTGCCACCATGTATCAGTGAGGTACTGACCTCATATTAGGGACTTTAAGCAGCGATGTTGAAGTGATGGCTACGGCACCTGTATACATTCGGCAATGTGTTGGAATGTACACAGGTGTCGTACCCATCACTTCAACCTTCGCTTCTTAAAGTCCCTAATATGGCGTCAGTACCTCACTGATGGAAATCAAAGATCACTAAACAACATTTAACTCTAACAACAGCTTCTTTACTTCTTCAGGAAACCAAGGTCGCTCTGAACATTGCTACAACATGTCTCTTAAAATGACCTGAGGGCTGTTGATCTTTGCTGTAGAGACAATTTAATATCAGATGTGGAGTTTGTATAAATCCGTCTGTTACTTCAGCACCACGGATAGCGTCAACACACAGCATAGTCAGGTTGTGGGCTGGAGAGGGAGGATGGAGGTTAAAAACAGTTTGTGCGTTTTGGTCTTTTTGTTAACAAAGGGGGTAACATCCCCCAACCCCCCCCCCCCCCCCCCCAACCCCCCCCCCCCCCCCCCCCCCCCAAGATCACCTCCTGGAACATGAGCCTGGCTCACTACTTACTGTGGTCGCCTCTCAGTATCTTGTGTTGTGAGTGCTGCTGGCAGCGGCTGACATGTCTATGAATTAACTTCGCAGGTATCTTTAACAAATAAACTCATAATCCATAAAACTACTAACAGTATAACTGTTAGAAAAGGGTCAACAACTATTGGGCTGCAACAGTAGGAAGCTTCGATACAGAATCTACGTCATCACATCATGCTGTTGCCGTCCCTTCAACCGTTGCTGCTTAAAGACCCTATTGACCCACTAGGCCTCTCAAAACATTAGAACAAGACCCATGGTGACCAAGCTTTTGATCTCTCTGGTGTCAGGTCAGTAAACTCTGTTCAGTCTCATCTCAAGATCAACCCATTCTCAAGGGCATCTTATTGATGCTTCCTGTCCGGATTGATTCTCTTTGTTTGATTCTTCTAATAATCTGTAGAAATTAGCTCACTCTCAGAAAGAATGTAAATCAGGGTACATCCCAAAATGCTGAACTATCCATTTATGATTCTTGAGGTCCATCCCGTACAACATTGATCGCTTTCACAGGACACCAGCTTCCCTAGTACCGAGACTCAGATTCCAGTTGAAGCTCTGGTTCACTTCAAATACAAATGTCACTTTGACATCATGTCTTTCTATTTTCCTCTGGGAAACCATGACAGACAGATGCCCTGGGCCCTTGTCCTTCCACTCCAAGAGCCAGTATGCTTTATAAGATATTTCATTAATGAAATCCAAGCCAGAGGGATGCCCGCAAGCTTCTTTAAATGAAAAAAAAAACTGCCCATGTGAGAAACTGCCTTGTCATCAGCTGTAGCACATTCCTGTGGTTTGCTATAATAACACTTTGTATCCCAGTCCAGTAGCACAAGGAGGTACAGAGCAGGGGCATCAAACCACTGCCCACTGGTCTCCACTCCTAATTGTCAGGGAATCATTAGGCCTGATTCCTCCAGTCGACTAACATAACTCTACTAACAGCCCCTTTCACCTGCATGGTACTGGCTCCACTCGACTCCAGTCGCCTTCTCTGGTTTTCCATCAGTCAGAAGGTATCACCTCTGCCAAGGTCCTAAGTCAGGACTGATGAGACTGAGGTTGGACTGTAGAATGACATCAGCTCTGTGTGTGGAGTAAACAGGTCTCTGCACGTCGACATGAAAACATCCTCCCACAGATGGAGCAGGGTGGAGGGAGCATCAGGATCTGGATCTCTGCTGTCTCTGGACCTAGACCTGCTCCACATCAAGTTTATCAAGGTCTCTTCCAGAATCATGTCAGGGTGTCTGTCCACCTGCTGAAGCTCAGTACAAGACAATGACCCTAAACATCAGAGTAAATCCACCTTCTGGAGTGGTCCAGTCAGATCCCAGACCTGGATCCAGTAGAGAAGCTGTGGACTGAGCTCAGAGCTCCTCACACCAGTTGTGGTCATGAAAAGCTCCTTGGTCCAATAGATGTAATGAAGATGTTTGATGCTCACTTGCCAGGTTGGATGGTGATTGGACTGTAAAATGAAACAGGACTCCAACACCTGCATCTCATCTGACTGGTCTTCTGCACAGTCCAAACCAAGGAAAGCAGTTGCCCACCACTCAAGAGACTTGGCTTCAAGTTCCCAGTCTCACATACAAGACAAACAGCTGTAACTAAGAACATTACTGCTGTTCCACTCAGGTGTGCCAGTCACAGCAGCTATACACCCTGTGGAGGCACACCTGTCTTTCACAGGTACTTTCAGATCATTAGTTAGTTGGGAGACCTGGGGTGTTAGGAGGCAGCGTGATCCTCCTCATGGACTTCCTTTCCCAGTGAGAAGAAGCTGGTGAGGACATCTATGTCAGAAGAACAGTGGATGCTTGCAGAACACTGGACCCATTTTCCAGTACAATTCCAAATGAGGAAAAGATTAGTCTGGTCAAGACAAATCTCCACATCAACAAGTACTGACATGTCATTCCTGGATCCTTGATTGAATTGTTACAGTGGAGTCTACTGCAGGATTCAAATCCAGAACACACCAGGCGGGTGTATTCACCAAAACATAGAAGCAAAAATCCTTCACCCAAATGGTACTAATAATAATGACAATAATAATGATGATGACAAACTAGCTGAAACAGTGTTACAGCACTTTTTCTTTTCCTTTGTCATTTATCAGCTGCAAACAAACGACTGACTCTGACATTGATCTG